TTTATGCTTTAAAAATAAATTGTTTTGAACTGTATAACTAAATTATTGATAAAATTGTGAATCAACCTACCGTTGTCCCCGGGTTGTCTTTAGAAGAGGAGAAACTTTTATTATTGACATTTTGAGAAAAATGCATCCTTCATATAAATTTTTGGTTGTTCTAAAACGGGATTAACCACGTTTATACTTTTCTAAATTTCCATACCGTTAAATTAAAAAGAGAAATTAAATTCCGAAAAAATTAAAAAAAAACATGAGAATATAGGTGAAAATATTGTTGCAGTCCTAAAAATCAAACCGCGTTTCTATTAGTGATGGGCAAAACTGTTATTTTAAAGTAACTGTTATAGTTATTTATAAAAAACAGCTTAAAATAACAGCTTAAAAATAACAGGTTTCTTTATTTTATTGCTAAATATCTGAAAGAGTATGAGGCGGCCACCGCCAGGCGTATTAACGCAGTTGCAAATTGCAACAGTGACGTGCTCGGTGGTAGTATTTCCAGGGTGTCAAAACATTTGTAAATATCGATTGTTATCTAAAATACCTCTCTAAAAACGGTGGTTGCTTACAAATAAGCGCTGTTTACAAATTGCGGTATAAAAAAAGCCAAAATGACGCCACTCGTCTATACCTATACTGTACATTCCGATCTACCTACGCCCTGCCCCTCGATCCGCGTAGATCCTGAATTGCGTAGCAGTGTACAGGGTACATCTCACTCGACGGGCAAGAAGCTCTTAATTATGATTTTACCATTTGCGGTCAAAAATAGCAATATAAGAAAATGTGTAGTATATTCTTCATAAGTAAACCAACTACACACTAGAGTTCGAATTAATTTTACACTTAAACTAGAGTGTACCCGCGACTTCGTTCGCGTCGAATTAATAATTTGTAATGGTGATGATAAAGCAATAAGAATTTCCATTAACATACAAACTGGATAAAATTTTCTCACATTTGCCAAAAATAAGCTTTAAACGTCGAGCAGTTTAAGCAGAATCGTGGTTAATCAATTACCCAACTTTTTGGAACACCCTGTATGGTTTTTTAAAAAATTTCAAAATATGTAAAAAAACAAAATAAATTACGCGTGTCCAAGCGTTTTCCCGAAAGACTAACCGTTTTTTAAATAACAAATATTGTAATGTTTGAGGGGCGTTTTCACCCTCTTGGAATTTGAGATTCGAGAAACCCATCCTTATCGAACCTCTACACCCCACAGTCAATCCGTTTGCCAAAAATCAGCTTCAAATGTCAAGCAGTTTAAGCAGAATATTATATATTATATATATTATTTCGTATATTTTTCATCTTATTGATTTTATGGAAAGCTGTTCATTAAAATGTTGTATCCTATGTTATAGGGCTTGTTTCTCTCTACAATTTCCTGTCTCACAATGTACCGTTTGTGTCGGGGACGAAATCATTGCTGTTGGTGCTGGCTGTTACGTGTTCGATGCGTTGCGGAGACAGTGTCCTGTTAAAAATCCCGTGACAATCCGAAGACTGTTCTTACTTAAATCAACGAAAATGTTTGATTTTTCTTGGTCATAAGTTTTATGACATAACTCACATGTACTCGCGTTCTATACACATCTATAACAGTTATAGACATTATAATCTACAAGAATGTCAATAAAAGTTCCGGTAAATAACTTTCTATCAACTTCACAATACAAAGAATCGATTACACACTGTAAGAAGTAAGAACAACAATAAACCAGAAATATCCATAAAAATATTCTTCAGGGCTTCAGGGATAATATTCTCTGCAATTTGCAGAAACCATAAAGCATTTAAAAATAGTAGTAAGCAGTTAAAATGCCATTGTTTCTTCCTTATTGGATTTTTAATTTCTTTATCTCATTTGGAATTCCTTTTTTCATTCCTGAGTTTTTTGTATTGTAATGACAATGTCTAATCCTATCTACAAGTTCAAAAATGCACAGTTGAGAAAGAGACTTCATTTTTTAAAAATAATATGGCGATGGCGGTTTAATATTTATATGCGAAGTGGAAAAATACTCTTACAATAATAATTCAGCTATTAATAATAATTACTGATTTTCGCGAAAATCGAGGTAAAAATGGTAATACATTAAGACGGAGGGATGAATTTGTATTTACCTAACAAATATATTTCAAATATTTATCTCTTGTTTAGTATTCCCAAAATATTAAAATTTCAAAGTGTCTGTACTAAATTGTTCATTTAAAAAAGAATAAATAAAAACAGGCTGTTTTTTATGTGCTCGTCACGGTATGGTGAGCTTTATTCAAAAATAGCATCATTACGGCATCAAAAAACTTATGCAAATTGAATTGAATACTTTACCAAAGACCATTAAGCCAACAACTGGTGGTGGGAAAAGGAACTTAATTCAGTCAAAAATTAAATAGATTTGTAGATACCATTTTAAAATGTTAGCTATATAGTTTATATTCGTATTTGTGTAATGTTTTATTATCGTTTGTTTATGCTTCTATATAACGTATAAAAAGTAAAGATTTCAGTTAACGTCTCCTCTTTGCTGCCAGGGCTAATCTGGACGGGGCCTACTTTGTTTACGCGGAATCCGAACCGCGGTCCTCGGCCATATCATGGTCAATGGCTTACCGGCTTGGCAAGTGTCTAAATCGACTCTTACTGACGAGATATCCGATCTCATCCGGCCTCGAACCGGCGTGAATGAGCAGTGTATGTCAATAGATTTTACACTTTTGCCTTTGGACAACAGCACGATACAGAGTTTCGAACCGGTCACCCGTCCATCCACTAGTATCGCCTTACGTCGCTTAACTTCGGTGTTCTATATAATGGGAACCGGTATTTGAACGTAGCTGGGCCGTTGCAATGTATGTAACGTATATATTTATTAATTGTTTTGTAAATAATATCCATACCATTGTGGGGGTAGTGTGAGTTTAAAGCACAAAATGCACGCTAGGGTGAGCCAAAAAAACAACCTATGGGATTTATGAAATTATTTGAGTCTTAAGTCAAAGACTTAAATCATTTTGATTTTAGAAATGACTTAAGGCTTGGTTTTTCATGTTCTCTCCATGTATTCTTAACATCCTACAATATGCCCACTACTCGAAGGCCTCGAGTTTCCGCTGGCAAAACTCGTTAAGGGTCCAAGCTTCCATACCATACAAAAGCACTGGGAATACATAACATTTGAGCATACGAGTTCTCAGATCTAGGCTCAAAACGCGACTACAGAGCAGCTTCTTAATCATCACAAATGATGCACGGGCCTTCTCAATGCGAATCTTTATTTCTGAACAATAATCCGCGATGCAGTCGACACTTGTACCCAGGTAGTCATACCTCTCTACTCTTTCGAGCTCCTCGCCTTTCGCGTACAGATGTTCATTGGGCACTCCAGTTTTAGCGACAATCATGTATTTGGTCTTCTTAACATTGAGTGTCAAAGAATGCCGTTAACTCGTATTCCACCCGCATCATTTTCGAGGGCTTTGTTAAAGATTTCCTCTGTGTAGACGTTGAAAAGGAGTGGTGAAAGAACACATTCTTGTCTAACTCCTCATTTGATATCCACTGTTCTCGTCAGTTCAGATTGGACGCGAACAGACGCACTTTGGTTAAGTTACAGTTTTATTACTATTTGTATATCTCTTGTATCGAGATTTTTTCGTTCTAACGCTTCTATTAGCTGCTTGTGTCTTACTTTATCAAATGTTTATTATAGTCAATAAAGCAGGCATATATATTTTGATTGACATCAAGGCATCGCTGCATTAAGGCATTGTAGGCAAACAAAGCCTCTCTATTACCGAAACTATTTCTAAAGCCAAACTGAGTATCTGCTATATCGTCTTCTAATTTTCTGTAAATCCTGCGATCGATGACTTTAAGAAAGATCTTAAGTGTGTGACTCATAAGGCTGATCGTGCGGTGTTCTTCACATTTTTTGGCATGATGCTTCTTTGGAATTGTAACAAACGTCGACTGGAGCCATTTCTTTGGTATAATCCCTGTTTCGTAGATCTTATTAAATAGAGAGCAGCACCTAAGTGTTGTTCTTCAATCAACTTGAGCGCATCTGCAGGTAAATCGTCAGGGCCAGGCTCTTTCCCATCTTTGGCTCCTTTTATTGCCGCTTGCACTTCTTCCTTTAAACTAGATGACCCCATTTCATTGTTAGTGCTGGTAGTGATTTCTTCTCTTTGGTCGTTGAAAAGGGTTTCGATGTATTGTTCCCATAGAGTCAATTGATCTTTAATATCCAACACAATGTCTCCATCTTCATTTGTAAGAATGAACGATTTTTGCTTTCGAACAGTTTCAGTAAACTCTTTTATTTTGTTATGCATACTGTGTGAATCATGAAGTCTTTGCAGATTTTCTATTTCAGTACATTCCTCTTTTATCCACTCCTCCCTAGCTTGACGAGACTTATATTTGGTGACTTTCTGTATTTTTTTATATTCCTGTCTGTCTGTATTTTTCAGGTTCTTTCTTTCTCCCATAAACATCAAAATTTCATCAGTCATCCAATCGTCTCGCATTGTCCGTTTCTCAATTTTCAGGTATTTCTTGCAGGGTTTTATAATAGCCGATTTTAAGCTTTGCCACATGTCTTCAGGTTGGCTCTGTGTTGCCGAACTTACTGGTACACTTACCTTAAATCATTTTGCGTACTTGATACATAAATATTTATTGTATAAAAATAAATTAGTTGAAAATACAGGTCTTAAATCTCGCATCTTACAGAAATAGCAACGTGCGTCGTTACGGCCCTGCCTTCAATTCCTTCAGTACCGAGGGGGTCTTTGTACCTTCCCGTAGACCAGGCTTCGGTACACATAACTTCAAGGTTAAAAGCGCTATGAGTTCAATGATAGACTCGGAGCGTAGCCGTGGCCGCGGTACGCTCGCTGCTTTACGTTGTTGTTTTTTTATTTCTGTGTTCCGACTTCGCATCGCTTTTATACACATTACGAGCACCAGTCGTTTGCCGCAGGCCATCACCGACGGTTTAGACGCTCCCAGTACGTACACAGTACCATCGGTTGTGGTACCGGCCGACACTAGCGGCAGTCAGTGTACCATTACGGCTAGTCGTGCGTGCGTCTTCCACGAAGATAAAGGGATTTTCTGTTGTGGTGGCGGTGTTGTGTTTGTTGATGTTGCAGTGCGCAGGCGTGTAACAGGTCGGGGAGGATATAGTTGTGTGTGTGATAGTATCTTTTTTAAGGACCGGAATCGTAAAAGACTTTTTTCCTCTTGTGTTTATTTTAACCTTTTTGTAGGTTGGTTTGAAATGGTGAGGATATGTGTAATTTATTTAATTTTCCAATAATAATAAAAATAATAGAAATGTTATTATACTCTTATGCTTTTGTTGTTGACTTATATTTTTGATCATACAGGTATTTTAAAAATAGAATCAAAGTTTTGGAATAAATCTGTATCAATAGAAATATTCTATAATAATTATATATCAAAAAAAAATTCAAACGAACTAACGAATCGCATCGACCAACCGTTTAAGCTAATAGTGAATGTGGAGCTTTAGAACTAAAATGAAAACTTGCATGTCAGTTTTTAAAGCCTTTAAGGAAGGCTGAGCTTCCTAAAGAAATTTGCTTGACAAAAAAATGTTGAACATATCTCCTTGGTCAGAAGAAGGAAACAAACAGAATAAATAAAAACTATTTTAAATTTTTAAATACTCCGAGAACACTTCTAGAAGAGACTGTTCTGAGTCGTATCAGTAGTAGTAAAGGTTTAAACCAAATTTGTGAGAACGGTATTTTTATATTTACTCTATTTTGATATAACTAGTTATACTACTGCTACTAATACTTTTAAATATAATATGCTTATTAGGTATATCCAGTTCTTTTTGTTGTTACGGTTATAATAGCCAACGATATACAAGAACTGCAAAGCATTATAGATTCCGTAGTCCACTATAGTGAGATGTTTGGACTGCATCTCAATGTCTCCAATACCAAACTATTGGTCTTTTCTAAGACTCCAATAAATGCACACCTGCGTGTCAAGGGACAAACAATCGAACAAGTGACCTCAATAAAGTATTTAGGATCGCCAATCTTCGTAACCAATATGTCGTAGTTAATCAGCCAGTCCGTTAAATCTAAGGAAAAAACTGAAAATAACCCTAGTATCACCCTAGTATGTCTTGCAGCGTAAACTCCTAACGCTTTAACCACGCGGCCACCGAGGACTCGAAAGATTCTATGTAAAATTCTTACTTAAAAGATAATGTTTAGTGAAAGCACTTTTTTATTTATAAACGTTTATTTAATTCTGTTTTTAGTATTTATTCTTATAGCGGCAACATAGATACATTATCTGTGAAAATTTCAACTGTCTAGCTATAACGGTTCATACGATAGACCTTTGTGACAGACGGACGGACGGACGGATAGCAAAGTCTTAGTAATAGGGTTCCCGTTTTTACCCTTTAGGTACGGAACCCTAAAAAACTAAAATAGAGTTTAACCGGTTGAATCCGAAAAAAAAGTTTTGCGAATTTAGAAAGACTAATAGAAGGCTGCAGTTATCAAAGCATAATATGTGAAGTAGCGTCGTCTTGGCATCGTAAAAATTTGCCATTGCCATGTCAATATAAACAGATACAATAGAAACGTGTAATATATTAACATATTCAGGGTCATTCAACAGTGATGAAGAGGTAATATCTAGGGTAATATTTTGGCCAAAGACCAAAAAAATGCTGTTCTGAATTTTAATAAAAGAGTCATAATAAAACTTAGGGTGTATTCCGTTGCTTACCTTGGTTATGGTTTTATGATCCGTTTCTATCGGTTTCCTGAAAGTTTTCTTTTATTACGGAACACGGTTCCTGAAAAATTTGGTTATAACTGCCACCAAACTAACCAGCGCGAGAAGGCTGTTTTTTCTGGTTTTGTTTGTCAATCAATGTCATTTATGTGACAGAAATCAAGCAAATATTGGAAGTTCGAGTGAAATTCTCATTTAATTTCTAAAAGTTGTAATAATATTTTGTATTTACATCCAAAAGCAATGGAGGTATGCAGTAAAGGTAAATAAATTTCATTAACTAAATAGAATTACTTTTTAGGGCCATTTAAACTTATCATGCAGCCATTGTTTCTTAAAGTCAGGAACATTTAAAGAAAACATGAAAAACAAGACAACAAGTAATCGTGAATGTTTTGTAAGCTATAAAAATATAAATATTGATTAGATTTGTTTATTTATTATTGAACTGTTTTAATATTGGACCTGCAAATCTTTACTTGAGCTGCCTAACGAGTTTAACAGTTTATTAATAAAGTATTTTTCAATATTAAACTCCATTGAAAAGAAGAAGCAAACTTAAAAGCAGAGAATACGATAGGTACATTAAAAATGCATAAAAGATAGATAATTATAATAGAGGTATTGAAATTTAGAAAACGTCAACATTTGACGTTTCCAATATTTTACCAAACCGTTCCGTATCAAACCGATGATTTTCAGGGACCGCTCTTTACCGTAGTTTACCGGTCTGGTTCACCTGGTTTTACAGCGGAATACAGCTTTAAATACTCTCCTCATAGTAAGGTTCGTAGTTCTATACCAGCACATTCAAATCATTCCTCATTAATTACATTCAAAACTGAAGTGATTGGTGTTGTGTTCTATGTGTACTAATCACCCGCAGGTACTGAGGCTGGAAAATATTAGTACAAGTTGCGAAGGTCCTTGATATCAAACTAAGGCCCGGTTGTACAAATATAGCGTAAACTCGAGTTCATGTGAACTATGATAAACGCTGAACTCAGCAATTTTAATCGATTCATACAAAATCGAGGTCTAAAAAATCGATTTCCTGAAAATCAGTCTTTTTTTTTAAGTGGTAAACTAATTATATACTAAATATATACAAAGGATCCAAAGCAAAAATAATGGTATATAAAACAACCCCAAAGTTTCCAACTGGCAAAGGAGTACGACAGGGAGATGCGATATCCCCAAAGCGGTTTACAGAAACACTAGAAGAAATCTTCCTCCAACTGGACTGGACCAACAAAGGAAGAAAAATAGATGGAGAATTTCTTAAACATCTAAGCTTTGCTGATGACATTTGCCAATAGTCCTGAAGAACTACAAGCACAAATTAACGAACTAAATACAGCCAGCAATAAGGAAGGCCTCAAAATGAATTTAGCAAAAACTAAAACAATGTACAACGAACTACTAGACAGAAAAAAAATGCTAATAAATAACACACTGGAAATAGTAGAAGAACATTCATAAGATTTGAACGATGAGCCGTAAAAAAGAATCGTGAGAATTGAATTGGATCACAATGCGATCGTTCGTTTCTAACGATCGCATCGCGCGTAACGGCGCGGCGCGGTGGTGATAGAGGCATAGAATCAGGCGCAAATATTTAGACTTGAACAAAAGCCCTAAACAAACATCATGGGTATAAAATGCAAACGATAAGAATGTTATTTACGAGAAAAAAAACATTTATACTGTGCTTTGTACGGGAGAATCTGTAAGGTATCTAATTTTTATGTTAATATTTTTGTTAAAATAATATAACCGACTATAAACCACTATATGTCGGACTAAAAGACGAAATCGTGTTTTATGCAACTCCAAATAAATATTGTTGGCCTCTGCTCAATATGATAAAAAAAACGGCGTCAGCGATGGTTATAAAATGAAAATCGTCATCTTATATGTAAAATTATATGGGCAATGTCATCGATGTTCATTTCCAAGCCAACTGGATGCCATTTTTTTGGATCATGCGGTATTATATACTATTTATTATATGATTATTAAATCGGAATATGACTCTAAAAATATTAAATTGGTATTAAGGAGTCTTTAATAAATAGTATATATGAATTGGATTGATAAATAATATATGTAAAATAATCAATCCAATTACGCTAGTGTAATAAAGTGTTGAAAACAAATGAAAGAACTGTATATTTCTTTTTCTGGTACCTTAAGTAATTGTCCGGCTAAATTATCGCCGGTAGTGTTACGATTCTTGTTTTTATGGTGTTACGATTCTGTTATGCTGCCGGTGTTACGATTCTTGTTTTTATGGAACGTAAATTGTGCATGTGGTTTGTTCAAATCAACGTATCGTAGGAGTCAATTCAATATGAGAAACTGAATCGTGCGATTCGATTCACTAAAAAGAATCGTAATGCCCATCACTAATGTAAATACATAATTTAAGAATTAATTTGCAGTAAAATTAATATGATGCCCAAAAAAGCGACATATCCAATTGATCGCGCCAAGCACCGATATAATCAAAGTTATGTATCTACTTTCCATTGCGTTTCACACATCAATCTGGATCACTTTTAAATGCAAATTGACATACTTTATTTCCACTGTTTTAATATTAAAAAACTTACAAACTTAGGTAAAATGGATATATTATTATATTAAAAATTAGGTAAAATGCATAATTTATCGTTTTTTGATCTGATGCTCCTCATTTGGACTTAAATTTAAAGTAGAAATTATTTTTTAGCATAAATCGATTCAGGTCCAATAAATAAGAAAGATCTTATTCGATCTATTTTAAACAGTAAATAGTTATGTTTTATCGTCGTGTATAAAACAATATTTTTTCCATAGTAAAATGTAAAAAAATATTCAGAAATTATTTTTTCAAGGAATTTATTACGAGTAGAAAAAATAATGTGCTGGGTTGGCGTTGGTTTCTATATAATTTGACAAATAAATAAAGCTGTCTCTTTAGTTGTCAGTTTTGAGTCAATATTTTTTAATTCTCTGTCATGTCGATTGCTGATTGAATTGAAGCCAGAAATGGTTCAAAACGAAATAAGTAAATTACCAACAGATATTCAGGCTGACAAACGCCATATATCCAAACTACTTCCATTTAAATCCCGAATAACTTATGAAAAGGAATACAAAAATTTTCAAAAATGGAAGCAATTAAAAAACGTGCAAGAAGAAATAAGGTTTTTAACCTATCCTCGCTGTTAAAGTATCAGTTAATCTACCCTTGCGGTTAAAGTACTATTTTATCTACTATTTTTGATAGATATATGGCAATTTTAACAGTTGCTATGGAAAAAAGACAATAATATTTTAACTTTTTGTTTAGGTTGTTACACAAGTAGATTATTAAGATATAGTTTATAACATTACGAAATGCTTATTAAAAAATCAAAAGAAAATAATAAAACGTGTTTATGTCTGCCAGTCTGAATAAAAGGATATTTTGTCTACGCTCCTGAATATCAAGAATATACATTTACA